AGAGCTGGAATTCAAACAAGGCAATTTGATTCTGAAGTCCATCTTCCTAAATCAATACATTTTATATGATCTGCTAAGCCCTGCACTAGAAACTGGTGATATCATGGTAAAGCACCCAAATAGGGTCTCTACTTTCTGAGCTGTAGTGTAGTGCAAAATACATAGTAATCAAATAACTGTTGTTTAATTACAAACTGGAATTTTTTTTTTTAAAGAGATTTTTTGCTGTAGGGTGTGTGCGCTTACCGGACACAGCGAGAGACAGAAAGCGAGAAATCAGATAAGGTTATCACAGTGGGGCCCCCCAATTGAATACTGGTGGATTTACAGGGAGAGGGGCTGAGACCAAAGCAGACATATGGACACAGACATGCAAGCTCCTGTCCTCTGCTGTGCTGCAAGGGTACAGTCACCAGCTGCCAGCTCCATGCCCTGAGTTCTCAATATCCAAAACCATGTCCAAATCCTAACATTGACCCATTAGCCAGAGTGAGAAATTTGCATTTCATTTTGAGTGAGCTGCCAAACCACTGAACGGTTTCAAGCAGATGGGTGAAGCCATCTGATCTACATTGTGAAGAGCTCACATTGTTGGGGGTGGCACACAGGGAGGAGTGGAAGCAGAGGCCTCTTCCAGCTACTAGCTGTCAGGTAGTTCAAAGGCAGAAGTGAGGTCTAAAGTCAATAGGGACAGAATGGGGGCTGTAAGGTGACACAAACCAGCCCTCCCAGGTCAGTTCTTTTTGTACTGATGTTTAAGTATAGAGGTCTGAAGAGGACTCTGGAGACTGTGTGTGTGTGTGTGTGTGTGTGTGAGAGAGAGAGAGAGAGAGAGAGAGAGAGAGAGAGAGTGTGTGTGTGTGTTTTCTTTAATTGAGGCCCAGATTCTTGGAGTGAAGAAAGAGCCTTGGTCTGGGGGCCGTCAGCGGTTCCTCTCTGGTTAGAATGAAGAATGCCTAATTCCATATGTGAGTGTGTGTGAGTGTGTGTGTGTGTGTGTACGTGTGTGTGTGTGTGTATATGTGTGTACCCTGAGACTTCAGTTATCTCCTTCACTCCAGGCTTGGCTCTTAGCCTCCACTCTTCATTTCTCTCCAAGGATCCTCTCTTGGGACAAGTGTCTTTCAGATACTGAAGTTCTCTGACTCCAGGTCACTTTCTGTCTGTTTTCTCTCCCAGTCATGCAGGGTGTGTGAGAAAGGAGTTCCCAATAGAGTTTTTGGCTTTCTTATGTTCAAGTGATATCATCAGCCTAATCACCCCACCATTGTGATTAGATTTCAAATTTATCATACAGTTTCCTGAATTTCCCATTGGTCACAAATCTTACTCATATCCTTTTTAGAGTTATTAATTCAGTGTGCCTTTTGGATAGCATAGTCTCTATGCTTAAATCTTATCCTCCTCACAACTGACTTTCAGCCTATTTAGAAATCCTAATTTTCACTTAAAGGGTAACCCTATGATTTTCGAGATGATCTAAAGAGTGCTTGGTTATTTGTTGTATACTCCTTATCAGTTCTAATTTTGAATCCATGTGCGTCCTTAGCTTCCCTTCCCCCTGTTTTAATATAAACTTTCCCCCGATTTAATATAATCCTCTTGCTAAACTACCCCCTTCTGATCTACCCCATTGCTTTGTGTTAATTGAAGCAACAGAAGGACTTGCTGAATTTGTACAATGTTCCTGAGGCCTGGAGCTTTCTAACATCAGTTATAGCAATTTATTAAGTTTGGAGAAGGGCTTTGCAAATCTTGAGTGGAGATATGTGTGCCTGGGGTTTTGAGAATACTTTTTAATCTTTTTTATAAGATGGAAAGAAAGTGGGAGGGAAAGAGACAGGTTTTTGTTTGTTTTAAATTTTATTTACTTATTTAGTATTATAATTATTTTAATTTCAATAGGGCACGTGTGCTCTTTGTTGGGTGGGGGAGTGAGAAAGCAAGCTGCCAGATCTGGGACTTGAACCGCAGTTGGCCATGTAGGACTCCAGCGCCTTAACAATCATGCCACCTGCTGGCTCTCAGAGAGGTGTTTTTAACATGGTGTTATCATGTTGCAATCCTCATGCCCAAGTTTCCCAGTGATTTAGGCCACAGGTAGGTGCCACCATACCCAAACCCAGGCCTCTCATGCAGCTTTCGACAGATACCATGCAGTGGAGCCCTTTTTCTTGTACCATTGTGGCTAGGCCAGAACACATTTTAAATTGATCTGTTACCTTTGAACATGAACTGTGTATTAAATACCAAATTGAAAGCTTGTATTGTGTAGTCAAAGTTCTTAGTGAGTTTGGTATATGAAGTTCTTAAAGAGACCAAAACCTGATAGACTTAAAAAAAATTATTTATTGGGACCAGCAGTTAGCGTAATGGCTATGTCGCTGGACTCCCATGTAGTTGACCGCGGTTCGAGTCCTGGACCCAGTGGCTTAAGCTCATGCCGGGTGTGTGTGCGTGCTCAAGATCCTGAGAGGAGAATGAAGGAGAAGGGATTGCAGCATGGCCATCCCCCCTGGGGGGTGATTTCTCGCTTTCTATCTCTGTCTCTCTGTGTCTTTCTGGCGAGCGCACGCGCTCTATAGCAAAAAAGAAAAAAAACTCTTGAAAAAAATGATTTATTTATCTAACTTTATTTATTATTATTATTATTTTAAATTCTTTATAGGGCATGTGTGCTCACCAGAAGCAAAGAGAGAGAGGGAGACAGAGAAAGTGAGAAAGCAAACCGCTAGGTCCACGACTCAGGTAAATGTTGAACATGTGGGAGTCCAGCATCCCAACCATTGTCACTTGCTGGCCCCTTAGACTTTAACAATTATAGTTTCAACTCTTTATATGTAGTGTAATTAATTTATGTACAGGGTTCAAAGACGAGGGAAAGAAACATTTGCTATCTCAGAGGTGATACTTAGAGGGACGATATTTTAACAAGATAACCCAGGTGTGTGGTGAGTTAAAGGGCTTGTGCAGAGACTGAAAAGCCCTCCCGAAATTTCATTATTAAGAGAGAATGTAGTTGATTTTTCTGCTAGAGGGTCCATTTTGACAAAGAAAGTTGTTTTTTTTCAAGAAGCTGGACTGTCAGAAAACTCAGTAGTGTGTATAAAAAGAAGATATGAAAGACATAACACTGGGGAATACTCAGAGGGGACATCAAGAGATTATATACTTTAGGTTATTTAAACTTACCTGCTGCAAAACACATGCTATTAGATGTTCTTTCTATTAAGATGCTTGTTTCTGATATATTTTGTGAGTTAGGAATTTGCCCATGAAAATTCTTTACCATGTTCAATGGGAGAAAACTGACGAAATTTGAAGAGAATTGCATGCTCTTTGAACCACATTCAAAATTGAAATGAAGTTCATGTGTATTAATGATAGCTTCATATACCAAGATGCCCAAGTTTGAACCAGATTTTTTGCAAAGGCTTGAGTTTAGGTATAAATTATAGAATGATATTTTAGTACAGAGAGAAGAAGAAACAATCTTTGTTTATATACATTATACGTAAGAAGTACCCCTTTGCATTTCAGCATACCTAGGACTGACTTAGGGCTGCCATTACACTTAACCTTCAGTGTTATCCTTGAAATGGTTAATGTAGGAAATTGAATTAAGAAAGTTAGAATGTTTTGAGAACAGAACTCAAGGTGGTACCAGCATAACTTTGAACTCTATATTTTATAAACAAAAACAAAAAACAACTTTTTATAAACAAAAACAAAAAACAACTTGTCTATGTTGTCAAAAGCTTTCCTGTAACTGTTAAGACCTATGACATGATGCCCAGCAACAAAGTTTCAAATCAATCACTTAAAACAAATTGCTATAGGGCATGTGTACTCAGTGGAGAGAGAGAGAGAAAGTGAGAAAGCACTTGTCAACTTGCCAAAGGGCCTTCACACTTCAATCCCTTCTCCTCCATTCTCCTCTCAGGATTTCAAACATGCACAAACATGCACAGGCCATGTTTTTCAAGCATCTGGGTCTGAGACTTGAAGCATGTAGTCAGCCCTATGAGATCCAGTTGTGTTAACCACCACGCTAATGGCTTCCCAATAAATCACTTTTAATTTGTTGAGTGATTGCTACTTTTCAAATCCTGAGCTAAAATCATGAAAATGCTCCCAATTTTCTCATAAGTGTTGTGAGCTGCACTGGTATTATGGAGTCAGCTTGTTGGGGCTCATAAGAGCTGACTGAACATTTCTTTCTAACTCTGTGTTTGGTGATTTGAATCAGCCATGGTAGGGGTACTCACACCATGAAATTAACACAAATATACACCATAAGTCAGGGCCCTTTTTTTCCCTTTTCCCCAAAGAACTGGTTTACCATCTTGCTCTTGGAGATAGGTCTTATCTTCATTTAACAGGTGAAATTTAGGCTTATTGAAGTAACTCTATAAATGAGTTTAATTTTAGTTGTTTGGATCTTTGGGAAGCAAGTCATAATATTAATCTAAGAAATGCCTTATTTTTCTATTGTGTTATACTTCAGTTGAATTTAGACCGTGAACTATATGCTATCCTTTTGTTTTAATTTTCACTGTGACTGTCAAATTATAATGAGACTATTTGGATGTTCTTAGGTTTCTCTTATCTTTATTGAGTTTATGTGGATCATGAAACAGTCTTTGAGACTTGGAGTTTGGTGTGTTTTAGAATTTTTCATTTAGCTTGATTTTCCAACAAATGTAATATTTACTAATTGTTCCCAACATTTAACTTATTAACCCTTTTCTTTTACTAACTAGTTCTATGACCTTAAACACATTTTCTTAGCGCTACAGTATGGTGGCTATGACCATTGACCGCTAAGATAATGACCATTTATGACAGCATTAAAATTCATATGCGTCTCACAACTAGAGTCGGTCTCACTCTTGTGGAATGTAATTTTTAAGTAAAGTAATTTTACTCTAATTTTATCGACAATGTAGCTTCAGAGGTAAAGTTTGTTGGACAATAAAATTTTTGTTTTGTTTTAAAAGTTTCAGAATCTTAAGCTGAGGGAATTCTATTGTGAAGGAAACCCTCTGCTCCTGAAGCGACCAGTTATTACTACACATCACAAGGACATCTGGAGTCTGCAGGTGAAGATGTAGCTCATTCACACAAGTCTGCAAACTAAAGTCACGATTTTAGTTTTAAAGTTTTCTTTTAAAACATTCTTTCCTAGCCAGCAAATGATTAATGTAACCTTAGTCATTGGGAATGTGGCTTCTACTCCTAACCTTTCTGACTTGCTTATAAAATTTTGTGTAATCCTATCTTATTTCCAGAGTGACTGAATTCAAAGAAATGGAAGTATTTTGTAGGATGAAAAGAAAATAATTTATTTTCATTTTAGCCTTCTATTATAAATATCTTTTCAGTATTATCTCAAGATCTACTTGATTTGTTCTTAGTGGGTCTTTGCCTCTTCCATCCCCTTTTATATAGTCTTCATTTCTAGTGACTGCGTGATTCAGATCATGTTTACTATGGGGAAACAAGTGAGTAGTATTAAAAGAAGGAATAGAAAAGTGTATTGGAGACTCCTTTGTTAATAGACAAACTAAAGATTATAAAGCCTCCCACATTTGAGTATGATTCTCTGTCATGAACTTTAACTTCCCAGAACCACTCGGGTTGATAGCTGAACATATAGGATTGCCATGACTATTAAGAATCACATAGGATTCAAGTCTTCATGCTGTAGGAAACAACTAACTCTGTTGCCTTAGTTTGTTTAAAAATATCTTTTATTTTCTTTATTGCATAAATAATACAGATTTACTGCAGAAAACTAGGAGATACAGATGAGCAAAGAATAGAATAAAAATTAACTATGTCAATGTTTTTTTTCTTTTCTTGGAGAGGTTTTTGCTATAGGGCGCGTGCGCTCGCCAGAAAGACAGAGAGACAGAAAGCGAGAAATCACCCCCCAGGGGGGATGGCCATGCCGCAATCCCTTCTCCTCCATTCTCCTCTTGAGATCTTGGGCATGCATGCACATGCACCTGGCGTGAGTTTTAAGCCACTGGGCCTGGGCTGTCAACCACGGTCAACTACGTGGAGTCCAGTGACATAGCCATTATGCTAACTGCTGGTCCCCCAGCTATGCCAATTGTTAAAAAACTGTTTAATTTTTATTTATTATTATTATTTAGTTTTTTTTCTTTTTTATTTAAATAGCTTTATACAGATGAACAGGAATGAACTTAGAGTGAATAGGTGAGGAAGAAGGTAGGGAAAAAGCCTGGGGTTGATATAGTAGCTTACTAATAATTCAAAGCATAAATCAGTAATGAATTGCATTGAATGTAGTGGAATGCTGAGTAAATGCTTAACAGCTAGTTCATTGTAAAGAAAGCTGTGTTTTTTTTTTTTTCTCCTGAAACTTTTTTTTTAAAATTAATTAATTTACATTCATCCTTAATCTTCATCACAGCATAAAAAAAGTGATTTCCCATCCAGAATATACTATATAGTGGCTTAACCATATATGTTATCATCAATAATTTTTCATTTTACACACACACACACACACACACACACACACACACCTATGTCTGACCCTCTGTCCTTTCCCACCCTCTTCTCATGCTATCTCTGATGCCTGCAGTTGTCTTCCATTCCTTTCCCCCCACATTTTATTGATCACACAATTTCTTAAATAATCTAACTACTTTCAATAACAAGTTCAGCTGGTAATTTAAAGAAAAGCAGTTTTGAATTGGTAAGGAAATTTTCTTAAAACTTAAAGCCTGGAAACAGGTTAGTATTCTGTTCAAATAGTAACTACATGAACCTATTGATAGCTCAACAGGACAAAAACTCTTAAAACCAGACAGCAAAGCCTAGAAGAAAAGCAGCAATATTTTAGTCAAAAGTCACAGAATGTTATTCACCAGTTCAGTCTCATGTACTTAATCTATCTTCTGTTGTGGTTCGATCTTCCTGATTGAATTCTGGGATATAATATTCAACTCCAGACTTGTCCCTACTATTAAGTTGGCCATTTTCTTAGTTTTTGAGCTCTTATTTCTGTGTGACTACATTTAATTTTCCTGACATAGCACTCCCTTGAGAACTTCTTGGTGATCTGGTCTGGTGCTGATAAATTCTTTCAGGTTTTGTTTATCTGAGAATGTTCTTGTCTTTTCTTCCCATATGAAGGATAATCTTGCCAGGTACAGTATTTTTGGTTGAAATTGCTTTTCTCCTAACACTTTGATTATATTTTCCCATTCTTTCCTTGTTCGCATTGTTTCTGATGAGAGGTCTGTTGTCAGTCTGATGGGCCATCCTTTGTAGGTAATTTGCTGTTTCTCTCTTGCCAATCTTAGTATCTTGTCTTTGTCTGTGGTTTTGGTCAGTCTGGCTATAATGTGTCTTGGAGAAGATCTTCTTGGGTTGATTCTAGTTGGGGGTCCTTTGTATTTTTTGGGACTGGATCTTTGAGTGCCTCTCTAGGTTCAGAAAGTATTCTTGTAGGATTTTATGGAATAGATTATCAATGCCCTTATGAGTCTCTTCTCCTTCTGGGATGCCAATTATCTGGATGTTTGGACATTTGATGGTGTCTAGTATTTCTTGTATATTATTCTCAAATTTGGGGGAAATTTTCTCCGTTTTTGTGGTAGATTTTTCTAGGCCAGCAATTTTTTATTCTATGTCTGAGATTCTATTTTCTGTATGATCTAGTCTGCTTTTAATACTTTCAAGAGAGATTTTGACTTCCTGTATTGTAGTCTTCATCTCTAAGAGTTCCATTTGATTATTTTGTAAAGTGTGTAATTCCTCTTTTAGATCTTGCAAGAATTTCCTCACCTCCCAGAACTCGTCAGCTCCTTTCTCTTCTGCAGTTCATTATCTTTCCTCTCTTCTATCTCTGTTAGCTTCACCATTATGAATGTTCTAAATTCTTCATCAGATATTTCTATGATTTCCATTGAACTGTCTGTGGATGAAGAGGAGTTATTCTTTTCCCTTGGAGGAGATAGATTTTCTTGCTTTTCCATATTCCTTGTGGTCCTGTGGTGATTTCTAGTCATCTGATGGAAAGTGTGTTTCTTCCCAAACTTGAAGTTCAATCTGAGTATCCAGGAGCATGCAGAAAAGGAAACCGAGAGAGAGAAACAACAGCAACAAAAACAACCAAGAAACAGAAAAAAAAGAGGAAAAACCCTAAAAAAAATTATTATTTTTTTTAAAAAGCAAAACTTAGAAAACCGTGTGCCACTGAGCCATGAAGGTGTCTTCTGAGGCCTGCTTCCTTGCCTCTCCTGGGTTGGGAGGAGGAGAGAGGATTATTAACAAGATAAAGGGAGAGGAGGAGCTGAAAGCCAAGAAAATGCTTTACTTTAAAAAATTTTAAAAAGGAAAAATTACACAGAAAAAATGAGAAGACAGGGATAGAGGTAGAGAGAGACAGAGACAGACACAGAGGCAGAGACAGAGAGAAGGCTTGAGGGAACTCCTAAAATCACTAGTTCTCAGGAGCCATGAAGGTGTCTTCTAAGGCCTGCTCCCTTGCTTCTTCACTGGAAGCTGAATTATCAGTAGAAAATCTTCATTTCTTTATTCTCTGAAATCACTAGTTCTCAGGAGCCAAAAAGGTGTCTTCTGAGGCCTGCTCCCTTGCTTCTCCTATTATTATTTTTTAAGTGGACCAGAGAGAGAGATTGAGCAAAAGTGAGAAAACAAGCTGCCAGGTTTAGGGACTTGACTGTCATTAGCCATGTGAGAGTACAGTGCCTAAACCACTACACTTGCTGGTCCCAGTATACTGATTTTTAAAATGCTTCTTACTATGAAAGTAATGCAAGCTCATTTAGAGAAATTGGAAAAAAAAAAGAGATTGATGAAAATACTAAACAATTAAATACACAAAGATATTAGGTGACAAACTGAATATACAGTTCATATTTATACTTAAAGTAAAAATCATTTCCTCTGGACATTTGGTCAATGAAACTTCTTGGGAGTCAAAGAATTGTTAAAAGAAAAAATAAACCAGCCAATTTAATAGAGTAGTTTTAATAGATCAAATCTTAACACGATTTTAATCAGGCAGTTGTTCCTAGATTTCCGGACGACTCTGGCCCACCTCATGGACAACTCAGCATTTAAGTAAGCAGAACAGAAAAGTAAAGTGTGCAGTGAAAGGGAAATGCCATACAAAAAATGTAAGTGTGGGAGTGAGACAGAGAAATCATTGGTTATATTCTGAAGTTTGTCTGTATTAACACAGTTTAAAAGGCAGGATGCGTTTGATTGTCTGAAACCTAGCTGCTGTGATTGACTGTAATCTAGCAACCATCTCTGAAAAACAGCCTAACATGTACAATTTTAGCTTATCATAGGAATCCAAGTGTGGGAGTACAGTGGCTATCGTAGGCCAAAATGGTTTAATTTAGCAGAATTTTAGGACTTTGGACAACCGAAGATTTTCTGCCCAGACTTCACCCTCCTGACCCCAAGATCTAGTAAGACAGGCCAATCATAAGCCATCTATGTTTGAGCTCTGAGCAACCCCTTTCAGGTACTAGGAAAACTGAAGATTTTCTGCCCAGATTTCACCCTTCTGAACCCAAGATTTAGTAGGGTCAGAGTAATCCTCAATTCCCATGGAATCTGCTGCACAAAGGGAGAAAAATGGAACTGCAGAGAGATTGAAGAACACCTCCTCCTGCACTCCTCTGAATGCTCAGATTTAACTACAAAAATGAGGAAAAAAATGTATAATCTGTCAGATGACCATAAACTACTACAGGGGTATAAGAAATATGAGAAGGCAAGAATATACCTCTCCTCCAAGGGAAAAGAATAGCTCTTGTTCATCCACAGATGGAACTTCATCCACAATGGAACTCACAGAAATGTCAGATAAAGAATTTATAATATTCATAGTGACAAAGCTAACAGATTTGTAAGAGAAGAGAGACAACAAACTCCAGAAGATGCAGGAGAAAAGAGACAATGGGTTCCAAGAGGTGAGGAAGTTATTACATGATCTGAGAGAAGAAATACATCCCTTTAAAAAGAATCACATGGAATTGTTAGAGATTAAGGCTGTAATATAGGAAATCAAAACCTCTCTTGAAAGTATTAAGAGCAGATTAGATCATGCAGAAGATCAAATATCAGATGTAGAAGACAGAACCTCTGACCTAGAAAACTCACCAAAAAGACTTAGAAAATAATCCCCCAAATGAGAATAACATACAAGAAATTCTACATACCATTAAACGCCCAAACATCCATATAATCAGTATCCCAGAAGGTGACAAAACTAATAAGGGCATTGATAATCTATTCCCTGAAATCCTGGAAGAAAACTTTCCAAATTTAGAGAGGCATTCAAATATCTAGGCCGAAGACATACAAATGACTCTACATAGAATCAACCCAAGAAGATCTTCTCTAAGGCACCTCATAGCCAGATTGACCAAAACCATAGATAGGGACAAGATACTAAAATTTGCAAAAGAGAAATGTCAAGTTACTTTCAAAGGATATCTCATGAGGCTAACATTAGATCTCTCATCAGAAACATTGCAAGCAAGGAAAGAATGGGAAGGTATATTCAACGTCTTAAGTGAAAAACAATTTCAACCAAGAATACTATACTCGGCAAGATTATCGTTCATATGGGAAAGAAAGACAGAAACATTCTCAGATAAACAAAACCTGAAAGAATTTACCGACACCAGACTGGCTCTCCAAGAAAATCTAAAGGAAGTGCTATACCAGAAAAATTAAAGTCACACACACAGAAATAAGAGTCCAAAAACAACCAAGAGAATGGCCAACGTCATGGTACGGACAACTCTGGAAAGATCAATAATAACATTAAACGTTAACTTCCAAAATTTTAATGGAAAGATCAGACCACAGTAATACTGCAAATTCAATAGAAGAGAGATTAATTATGAGACCAAGCTAGTGAAATAGAATAGTATGACTTTTGACTAAAACGTTACTGATTTTCTTCTATGCTTTGTTTTCCAGCTTTAAGGATTTTTGTCTTCTCTCAAACTGTTGATAGGTTCATCTACCTACTGTTGGCACAGAATCCTAACCTTCTTCCTGTTTTTAAGTCTTAAGCAAACTTCTCTTAACAGTTCTTGATTTTGATCTATTAAAACTATAATTTTTTCTTGAAATTAAAAAATGTATAAGAAAAACCTATTTAAATAATGATTGCAGTAAGCTATATACCCCCAGCTAGGTGCTACTTTATAGTAATGTTCATTCTATTCACTGAGGTTTATATCTAAAGTCAGACATGTGTTCTTAGATATGTATATATCAGCTGTACTTGCTATCAAAAGTATTTAGATTAGTTAAGGTCTTTTGTGAGTCAGTAAAATGTGGGGTAAAATAAAAGGCAAGGAAAGCAACCATAGAAAACAGAGACAGTGTGGGAGGAAGAAGGGAAATGAGAGGTAGGGATTTGAGGTGAGAAGAAAAGGAAGCAAAATATCTAAGAAACGAGAAATGGAAAATTACTTGTTGACAATGACATGTATGGTAATATCCTTGATTGAGCCAATATACCATATATTTTGGATGGAAAATCTCATTTTGTATACTGTAATGATGTACAGTGAATGAACGTAAATAAATAAATTTAAAATAAAATAAATGAATTTTTAAAAAGAATTATATTTTAAAAAACTTAATTTAATTTAATTTATTACTATTGTTTAATTTGCTATTGGGTACTTGCACTCACCAGAGAAAGAGAGAGAGAGAGAGAGAGAAAGTGAGAAAGCAAGTCACCAGATCTGGAACTTGAACCATGGTCGACCATGTGCAAGTCCAGTGTCTTAACCACCACGCCACCTCCTGGCTCCAGTGGAGATTTTAAAAACCTTTTTTTTTCTCTTGAGAGTTTATGAACTAAAATTTAATGTTAATAACTAGAAAATATTAGCTACTATATACTGTATCAGTAAATGTCAGACTAAGAGTTCGACCAGGGTTATCTAATTTAGTTCTGCAAACTTTGTAATAGAATTGAAAAAAAAAATCCCTATTTTATATATGAGGTAGCCAAGATCAGAGACATTAAAGACTTGTTCAAGCAGAGTCACACAACTATAAGACATATGGCAAGGATTTGAACCTATGTATGTATCTGACTGACCTCGAATCTTTGCTCTTGTCTCTATGGTTTAGTGTTTATCATACAAACAGTAATAATTGATTATATTAGTTCCAAAGTTTATCATTCTTCCTAAGGATTCATACTTGTTTTTACATGTTTTAATTTTTGCACTTATGTAAATATGATTTGTATATATATAATTTCATAATTTAAGGATACTAAAATTATATGTGAAACTAATTTCAATTTATGATAGATTGTAAATAGATATAATTTCTGACGTACAAGTATTATAACAAAGCAGTGTATAAGCTTTTCAAAAGGAGCAATTTATTCATCTATGAAACATTTCTCAACTTTTAAGTAACTCTGGAATTAGGCCATCATTAAATTGTATATTCTCAACAGCTACAATGAATGTATCTCTCTAAGTGGTGTACTAAAAGATTCTGTTGGTTATGCCAGTAGTATCTTACTATATGTATGCTCACGTTTCCAAGTAACCACTTTATATTTTAATAGTATATGTCATTCTTCCAAAGTAACGCACTGGCAGTGAGTAGGAGAAGAATATAAGTAATGAGCTATTTAAGAGATGTCAAGAAATATACTGAGTGCAACAAATATGTTTGGATCCAGAAATCATAAATGGAAAAATAGATCTCAATGAATCTATTTATAGGTCCCATGTATTTCAGTAAATTCTTTTGCCATCTGCTGTTCTAAACAGGGAATCCTTGTCTGTGAGTTTTCTGTAGCTTTGTAGTGAGACATAGCCATTAGATTCATGTAGCTCAAAACCTACCTCTGAAATCAGTATTTCATTCAGATTACAAATTATGTTCTACTTAAGTATTATGTTGGAATAGGGGTTACAACTAACATCTGATTTAGGAGCCCTGGTAATATTAATGTGAAAGGATGACCTTAGTCATATAACTATCCAGAAGTATGAGCTCTAGTGGGTAGAAGGTTGTGCTGTTGAAGGGTCAGACATATAAGGAACCCATGCTCAGGGATATTTGCTGTATAAAGGCAGATTTCCCAAATATTTGTTAACTAGGAGGGACAGAGTAACAGGAACCAGGAATACAGAAATTTTTAGGATTTTATTGTTATTTAAATTTTAAAAAAGATTTTAATTGCACGAATGAGTGAAAGATTATGTATGTTTTTGTGTATGTGTTCCCAAAGATTCTTGCCAGTGCTTGATGTAGACTATGTTAATACTGGGAAATCTTCCACATAGGCCAGAAAAAAAAAAAAAGTCCTGAATAAACCGTCCTCATACACTATTAAAATTTCAAGCTGTATTTGTGCAACATTTATACAGGACTTCCATGCTACTAGCCTAAATAGTGGGGGGTATTTAGTGGATTAAAACAAATGCTTGTTTCATTTTCTTGATCGATGAAGATTTATTTAATTTTATGTATTATATTGTGTTGTCAGAAAAGACATGATGTATTTTTGCATAGAAAAATACTTCTTGACTTTCCCAGCAACCCAATATACTTTTATTTTGAGATGACAATGCTGATGGTCCTGGTAAAAGGCAACTTTCATTTCTTCACTACCCCTTTTGTCATTTAATACTATAATATTATTGCACAGAGTTATTTAAAAATATATACGAATAGTTTAGCACCGGTTGAAATCGGAGAGCTGATTCATAGAAGTTATTGCCATTTACCAAATGGCACTGTCCAACTCACAACATAGTAAATAATTTAGGCCAGGACTTCTTAATTTTTTTTTCTTTTTTTTTAGAGATATTTTGCTATAGGTAGGTCATATGTACTTGCTGGAGAGAAAAAGAGAAACAGAGACAGAAAGTGAGAAATCAGCCCCCGGGGGGATAGCCACGCTGCAATCCCTTCTCCTTTATTATCTCCAGATCTTGAGCACTCAGGCACACACACCTGCCATGAGTTTCAAGCCACAAGGTCTGGGACTTGAACTGTGGTCAGCCGTGTGGGAGTCCAGTGAGGTAACCATCACACCATCTGATGGTCTGAAGCACTTCTCAAATTTTAACATGCATACAGATTACCCAAGGAACTCATTAAATACCATATTTTGATTTAATGGGTCTGGAGTGTGTCTGAGAGTCTACATTTTAAATAAGCTCCCAGGTGCTTCAGATTCTATTGGTTTGTGAACTACAATTTAAGTAGTAAGGATTTAGATCTTAATGACTATGGCTGATTTAATTTTTGAGTCCAGTTTGACTGCTTACATAGTACTATAATGAAAGGTGCCAAATTTGAAGGTAAACTATATCTAATTTTATAAAATATTTAAATTTATTATGACTTGAAGCCTATGTGTGAAAGACATAGAAATATTGCCCTAGATGTAATCCAGTATTCTTAATATTGATGAAACCCAAGCCTGTTTACAATGCCAATCACTTCCAATATTGCTAATTACTTACACTGCAAAGTCCTAACATAAATAGGATATAACAAAAAATTTGAATTAGTGAAATGAGAGAAATGAATGTAACATAAAATAGTTATTTTGAAAATAATCCGAGGATTTTTTTTTAAATATAGGAACTGACATCAAGATTTGTAATGGATCAACTAGAAGAAAAGAACCCTTTACTAATGAATGCCATAGACTCTTACCCACAGGTCAGGGACATAATCTCTCCAGGAAAAAAATGTGCAATATGTGGAAAGCCCTTTTTAACTATATGGCTGGAATGTGTTCAATTTATTCATCCATCAAAGGTAAATCATGCTTTGTGGAACTGTGAGCATCAGACACACCCTTGTCTTTTGTTCTTATCTAAATCAACTGATACTGGTTATATTTTGAATCTAAGAATGGACTTCTATGATAGTATAATGTTAATTTTAGATAGACAAAACTTGGATAAGTATCTGTAAATAAGATAATCATCTCTCATTATATTTACTTTTATGGATTCACTTATTTCTCAGAATATATACATTCTAACAAAATCCCATGGAATTTGAGCATTTTAAATCAGCGTTCCCTATGTTCTCCTAGGTGGAGCTGTTCAGTAGCCTGTAGAAAAATTTTTATTGGAGAAAGGAGAATGTGCTGATTAGTTTGTGTCATAACAATGTTCTAGAAGACTGAATGTGCTCATTGTGTACCCACAATATTACGTTGATCACAGTTGTGTACCCTCAGGCTGTTCACAGAAGCCAAAAAGCACGTCCTAGGTCAGGGCTTAGCAAAGCCTTTTTTGTAAGTTGCCAGATAGAAACTATCGATATTGCAGGCTTTGTGAACAATAAGGTCTCTGTCATAACTGCTTGACTCTCCTTTGTGAGAGTGTTTTGTAACATTTATTTTAATGAAAAAAAGTAAAAAACAAAACTCAGCTAACCATAATATTTATAATTCAACATCTTCCCTTGGAAATTTATAAATATGAAATCTATATGTAGTGTCAGAAAGTACCATCTTCTGATCACTGTGTTGGAAAAGCCCACAGAAGCCTGCATTAATTCCTGCTACATTTATTCCTTGGCTAAGCCTCAGCACTTTCAGGGGCCATTTACGAGACAATTCTGCCTTGGACTTACTTCTGTCTTCACATGATCCTTTCCAGTCTTCCCCTTCTTCTAGGAGATTTTTTATAATGTCTGAACTGCAACTAATGCATGAGTCTGATTCTGGTGAAGAGAGCTTCCTCTTGAGTATCAACACAACTAGGAAAGTCTCTAGCCCATCATGCTCTAATTTCCTAGGAGATCCTGGCTTTGAGAGAAGTGGTTTGAGAATTTCATCTTATTGTTTTTCTATTCCAGGCATACAGATATACCTTTTCTATAGATTAATATTTTGTTATTGTTACTTCTTGTTTTAATGTTCAGCAATTTTCTTACATCTGTTTTTGGCCTGATCCAACAGGAGCTGAAATTGATTCTGGTATTTTTATGATACTTACTGTGAATTGCACCTATTTCCTTTACTGTTTGATTCTTCACAGAAAACAATGCTTTCATTGAATTTACTAGTACCAAGATACATCCTACTCTTCACCATATTTTCAATTTCTTGAAGTATTTCAGAAGCTTATCTAGTGCACATTGGGCTTTGTACATGTGTGCAAATTCTTGGTGCCTTTAATGAGTTATTTCCTTGAACAGGTAATCCATACAGCTCAAGCTTTTTCTTTAAATCATTCTTTGAGAGAAGTTTCTGTACAGTTTTGGTCAGTGACTTCCTTTTGTGAATGGGACTTCTGAGACTTTCCTTCTTCTCTTCACATCATAAACAGCTAAGTGCTTATTAATGTGATTTTCCTGGAATGCGAACTTCACAGTCAAGACAATACATTTTAGTAAGTTTTTCCAAGGTGGATATAGAGGGTTTCTAAGGACCACTAGCCTTTGAGGAGCCTGGATCCATCTTTTCTACATTTGTCTCTTTGGTCTCTGCAGAAGTGCTAGAGTCTTTGAGAATGGAATGTGTTTTCATTTTTCTTTAATCACCAATTCTGATGTAGAACCACCACCAGTTTCTTTACCAAAAAGTTGTCTGTCACCTTTTTCCTCCTTTAAAGAATGTCTGAAGGCTACAGGAGTGTGTACTTTGACAGCAAGGTTTCTTGAAGAGGAAGAAGCAGGATATATGGTGCTGACTGTAAAGCAAACTGCTTCAGGTGATTTCCTAAAAGATTTAAGCTTTTTAATTATGTCATCTAATATGCAGTTATTTTTTAGGTCTGGCTCTGTGACTGTCATTCAAAAAACTGGACATTGAGTTTTATAGGCATTTTTTTTTTTTAAATTGAAAGAATAGTCTTTATGACTGTCAGACCAGGAGGGCACTGAGACTCAGCCAGGGAATCTGTGTTCACTACCAAGAATGATGAGGGTCTGCCACACACTGGCTTCCCATGCTCCACGTAAAACAAATTTGATATTGACACAAGCGAAGAAAACCTACCTAGAGGGGGCCAGTAGATGGCTGACCATGGTTCACGTCCTGGACCTGGTAGCTTGAAACTCACACTGGGCGTGTATGTGTGCATGACCAAGATTCAGGAAGGAGAATGGAGGAGAAGGGATTGTGGCATAGCCATCCCCGTGGGGGGTGATTTCTTATTCTCCCTCTCACTGTCTCTGTCTATCTCTCTGGCGAGTGCATGTGCCCTAAGGCAAAAAATGAAAACAAAAACAAAACACCAATAAATAAATAAATAAATAAATAAATAAATAAATGAACTCTCAAAATAAAAGGAAAAGAAAACCTACTTAGAGAGATTGTATCATTCCTCCCCCATCCCTGGGATTGTTTATGTTTCAATTGCCCCCCAAAATTGGCAAATTGCTGACCCTATAAACAGCTCAAAAGAAGACAGAAATAATTAAATCTAGAAAATAAAGCAAGAGAGAAAATCAGTAATATTTTAGTCAAAATCATAAAATTCTATTTTTCCTGTACAGTCTCATGTACTTAACCTCTCTTCTATTGAATTTGCAGTTACTGTGGTTTGATCTTTCTATTTAAATTCTGCAAGTTGATGTTAAATGTTATTATTGATCTTTCCAGACTTGTCCCTACCATTAAGTTGGCCATTTTCTTGGTTGTTTTTTGTTCTCTTATTTCTGTGTGTCTATCTTTAGTTTTTCTGGTATAGCACTCCCTTCAGAATGTCTTAAAGAGCTAGTCTGGTGTGTTTGGTGTTTTTGGTTATGGTATAGAGCCGCTAAGTTTTTTTTTTTTTTTCTCACAATGCCTTTTTCTAGAGTTTTTGAGATCTCCAAGTGTTTCCACATGTTTCACATGAATACCTAGCTAGTGCCACTTCTTCAAGGATGAACTTTCATGCACCACAAAGGAATGATACTAAAATAGTTTGGAAAGAATATGGGTCTTAATATTTCTACAAATCATTTTTAATAAATTCATACCATCAACACAAACTAGCTTGGATCCATATTTGCAAAATACTTTGAGGAACTGGAAACCTACAAAATATCCTGGATATTTTGTTCTCTTGAGCCAATCATGTTTGAATTATATTTGTGCTAGACATATCTAAAGAAGATAAATTTAAAAAGAAGTAGTATCTTATCAGAGAAAGCACCTTCAATTCTATTACATGTATTGGGTTATACTAGAGAAGTTGCCTATGAAAGTCCTATATCAAAAAGAAATAGCCATCTCTCTTTTTTAATCTTTCAATGCCTTCATGCTTCTACTATGGAAATGTCTGTCAAAGTCAAGTCAGTGTTGGGACCAGCAGTTAGCGTAATGGCTATGTCGCTGACTCCCATCTAGTCAACTGTGGTTCGAGTCCTGGACCCAGTGGCTTAAACTCATGCCCGGCATGTGTGTGTGCGTGTGTGTGTGTGTGCCCAAGATCCTGAGAGGAGAGTGGAGGAGAAGGGACTGCGGCATGGCCATCCCCCCAGGGGTGATTTCTCTCTTTCTGTCTCTCTGTCTCTTTCTGTCTTCCTGGCTCGCACCACACACCCTATAGAAAAAAAAAAAAAAAAGTCGAGTCGGAATGTTTTGGAAAAGTTCTTAGCACTTGCAAAAATTGAAGTTATTTATTAACTTCGTATTTTAAGTCTATCACTACCATTGAACCCCAAGATCAAGGAATTAACATTTTATTTTTGTTCACCATTATCTAGAGAGAGCTTAGCACAATGCTTGATAAATATTTCATTTCTACCAAATGACTAATAGTCAGAAGATCTAGATATGAATACCACCTCTTATTTTTATTAGGTTATTATAGTACATCAAATGTATCACAGAGATACTTCTGAGTGTTCTAGAGTACCTCTGCCGGATTTTATAAACCATGGACCTAGAACTAGACATGTAGCTAAAGAGAACACTGAAATATTGGTTAAGAAGTTTAAAAGTTAAAGCCAGCTGGACAGTGAACACCAAGAAAAAAGAGATCATAGTAGGAAATGAGGATGGAAATATATGTTGGTCCTCAGGGGCCGGCAGGTGGTTTGTTGGTTGAGGGTGTTGGACTCTCATATGACTGATCGTGGTTCTAGTCCTGGACCTGGCAGTTTGAGCTCTCTCTCTCTCTCTCTCACTCTGTCCCTCTTGGTCAAGTTGAAATGAATAAATGAATGAATAAACAAAGTAAAATAAAATAATTTTTAAAAAGAGATGTATGTTGGTCCTCCACATGAAAGTAAATATGTAATCTTGACCACATATGTCGCCTGTCTGTGAATTGTTACATTATCATATGCAATAGCTTGTTATATTAAAGAGACATTTAATGAGTAAAATATGTCTGATCATTTGGCAGAAGTTGCCAAAACGCCCTGCTTTCCACTGGCCATGTTCTGAACACCTTGAACGAGTTGCCATGTTCATTTTTGCTCTGACCGATGTCCTTTTCCAGATTGTCTGATGAGCTGCTGGTCTCATTTCAAGTCTTTCTTGGAGAAATTACAACCCTAATAAAAGTAACATTTATTTGGCTGTGTCTAAACATGTACCTGGAATACCTCAATTAATGTTCAGAGTAACTGCATGGTACTGAGAGGAACTCTAAGACACAGAGAGGTCAAGCAATTTTTCCAGATTCACAAAACAATCAAGTAGAGGCTCAAGGGAAGGAACTCGCACACGTGACTTTTTGTTTTTAACTAGATGGGCTGGGTCATCTTTTCTCTGCTTTTCATCCCTGAGTTTCTTCATTTATCTTAACTGGATTTAAGACATTTAGGTTAGTCTTCTTTTGTCATCATTTATTTCTCACCTCAAA